GCTCTTTGACAGCAGTATTTTGTCCCTCTTGCTCCCTGGAGTGTTTTCCGCATGCCAACATCAGTCCATTAACATTGAACCCAGCTCTCCTTCCCCTTAGCAACAGCATCAATATTTATGATGTGTAGCTAATGCAGTCTACTTATATGATTTCTAGGATTCCAGGTGGGAATTCTTTGTCCAAAAGACCTCCAGTACCTTTCAGGCTGCGATGCTGCTGTTCCCCTGCAAAACAAGCACTATGGATCTGTGACCTTTCTTTTACAAGCTATTTGATGCTGCAAAGACCCAGCTTGCAGCAGCTTCTCAGTCAGGGAGAACTGAAGTGGGAATACAGGTACCAGAAACCCACCCAATCCTAATGGCTTTACTTAGGCAGGTTTCTGTAAGTGCCTCAAAAGGACCAAGCCTATTGATTAATGAACAGATGACCTGACAGGAGGCTGCAGGGAGGTGGGGTCGGCCTCTGATCCCAAGGAGCAAGCGACAGGACAAGGCGAAACGGCCTCAAGCTGCTCCGGGGGAGGTTTAGATGGGGATTAGGAAACAGTTCTTCACCCAAAGGGTGCTCAGGCACTGGAACAGGCTACCCCAGGGCAGAGATCGCTTTAGGACTGACACATGCCAGGCACAGTGCAACAAGTGGGATGTTTCCCCTCCTGGCAGCAGTGATCTGAGTGATGGCCCCGATGCTGACAGTTCCTCCATGGAATTCCCAGCCCCAGGAATAGATGTTTCTATCGGGGCACATCCTTTAGACTCAAAGCTTCTCACTGCCCTTTTCTGCCTGGGGCTTCTAGCAGCCAAACCCCAGACTGCTGGCTGCTAAAACCAGTTGAATGATGATGATGTTCCCCCCTTTTAATTAAAAGCCTGGCATTTACAAATCAAAAATAGCCACACAGGGAGTTTTCCTGCTCCGGTATTTTAAATAATACTTGTTAGTTATTAATTATTCATGATTAATGAGGGCTTTGCACATCTTCCTTCCACACAACCCTGAGTCATTTGCTATAGCTGTGAGAGAGCTGCTGGGTTTAGTGACAGCAGTGAAGGTCCTTGTCCTTCTGGGGCACCAGGGGAAATGCAGCAGATCTCGACTAATACATGGCCAAGCTCATCCCCAGGGAGGGGACCTTTGGTCTGCACAGAGCAAAGGGATGGGAACAGCAGCAGGAGGGAGAACTTCACCTCTGGGCTTTGAGGCCAAAATGCCCAAGTTAAGAGCCTAAAGTTCAGTTCTAAAACACTGATCCCAGCCCAAGGTCTTGCTGGGCTGGAGTTCAGGAGTGCTTGGACACTAACAGCCCTCTGGCCTTCACTCTACAAGGAGAACTGGTGAGGAGCTGCTTGCTGACAGCCCCTCCAGCTCCAGGAGCACATTGTCTTTGTCAGCTCATTTGTTTCTTCCAGGTCACCTTTTCCTTCTGGACTCGGTAGGAAAGGATGCTCCAGTTCCACGGGTGTAACATGGGCCTCCAATGCAATGCAAAGCTGTGGGCAAACCGCCCAAGAGTGCTGCTGAGTGCTGCACCTGTGGGTCGTGCTTTCAGCCCAGCCAAATAGGTGGGATCCTCTCTGTGCATCCCAAAGGCAGTGGCTTTCTCTGCTGCAGCTCACTTGCTGCAGGGTTCCCCACCTACATCTTTGCTTCTGTGGCTGCGAGATGTTCCAGTCCTGTTGCTGTTTGCTCCATCCTCCTGTCCAGCAAGCGTGCTGGCAGCAGAAATTGGTGTTCTGCTGCAATCTAGTGGTGTAGTGCATGGAACAGGTTCACAGCAGTCATTTCAGGCTGAAGGTAGGCTCCCAAACAGGTTTTCCAGGCTTTAACAGGTAAAGGCTGACTTCTGCGGAAGCTGGTACTTGTGTCCCTGTGCTCTATGCTAACAATTCCTCCATCCAGTGATGAAAAACAAAAATGATGTCTACTGCTCTTTATGATAAGCAATAGAGATGGATGATGCACAAGATACATGATGCAGAAAGGTGTTTTGGAAACCATAACCTTTGAATTGTGCCCTCTGGAGAGTGCTGGAAACCTTTAGGGTTATGATGGGGGATGTTACAGACATCTTGCACCATGAGCAGCTGTCTTGTGCTAGAAATCAAGGTGATAGGAGCTGGCCTGATCGTTCCCAGCTGAGCAAGCTCCTAATCCTCTGGCAGTAAATAAGTACATTGGCGCAGGGAGTGCCCTTCACTTCAGTAGGGGAGTTTGGGAGGGAGTGTATGTGATTGAGAAACCTGTCTGAAAAGAGCAGGATCAGAGCAAAGCCTTGCTCACATCAAGCTGCTTAATATTTCCTGGTGTTGGACACGGGGTTCTCCGAGAATGCCTGGAGCTGTGCAGCAGAGGTTTCAGTGCGGGGGACTTGCCATGCTCTGCTCTTGTGGGTGCTGGTGCCCGTGGGCTCCTCTCTGGGCTGCCCCAAAGTGGGGTCCCTGCAGGGAGCATTCCAGACCTGGAGCCTGGGGCTGCAAACGGTGCAGAGGGATTTGACCCAGAGTGGGGGTTATTAGAGGGAAAACTCAGGGAAACAACTGCTTTGGGATGCTGCTTTGCAAAACCTGCTGGAGGATTGCTTGGGCGTATGGCTGTGGCTGAGGGCTCATAGAGTCCCAGCCTGGTTTGTGTTGGAAGGGACCTTAAAGCTCATCCAGTTCCAACCCCTGCCACGGGCAGGGACACCTCCCACCGGAGCAGGGTGCTCCAAGCCCTTTCGCATGTGGATTTTTACTTGGTGCAGGTCCTCCCGCCCGCAGACCCGGCTCAGGGTCGCTGGTTCCTCTCCTTCACTGCACCCATTGACTCACACGCTGCAATTCTCCTCTGCTCCTGAGCCCGTGGTGCGCACACACAGGCTCTGGGTGAGCCACGAGCGGCCCCGCGGGGGGGGGTTGTGCGCTAAGCCCCATCCTCTCCAGCAGGGAAGCGCCGCTGGGCTGCAGGTGGCAGCACCGGATAACGGACGGGCTCCGGGCGCTCCTGGGCATCGCCGCCGGGGAGGGGACCGGGGCTGGTGGGTTCCTGCATCCTTCTGCAGGCGCAGAGGGGCGGTGCTGCTGGCAAGGGAATACCGAGGCCTCTGGGGTTGGGTGCTCCTGAACGGGATCATGGAACCCAGCCTGGTTTGGGTGGAAGGGACCTTAAAGATCCTCCAGCTCCAACCCCTGCCACGGGCAGGGACCCCTTCCACTAGAGCAGCTTGCTCCAAGCCCCTGTGTCCAACCTGGCCTTGAACACTGCCAGGGATGGGGCAGCCACAACTTCTCTGGGCACCCTGTGCCAGAGCCTCAGCACCCTCATAGCAGAAGGGTCCCTTCCCCTTTTAATTGTTAGCTACCAAGTCTGTGCTCTGCCGCGCGCTTGCAGGGGCTGCAAAGGCAGGAGGAGTGTGTTTAAATGCCAGTCCTGGTTTTAAATCCTCTGTGCCAACACCGAATAAAAGTCCAGGGCATTAAGGAGGCAAGATGGGATGAGCTCTGTGTCCTGTGCTCTTAAACAGGGAAGCACGGACTGGCTGCGACAACACCGTGATTTATGTCCTGGGGCAGCGAAGCTGCTGCTCCATTAAAACCAAGTGCCTGGGCTGTGCATCCATCACTAGCTTTCCCCGAGAGGCTCAAGTGTCATAGCAGGGAGCCCATGAATCCATCTTTCCAAGTACAAATACTTTAAGGCTAATCAATACTTTTTTTTTGTCCAAAGAGATTGGTTGGAGGAGAGGAGCTCATTTCTCCTCATTGCCCATTCCCTGGTTAACCATGTTAATTTGATTGCAGTGAATCCCTAGGGAGACAGCAAAGAAAGGGAACCTCTGTGAGCTCTTGAGTGAGGACAAATATCCAAGTGGATCTGGCAAGGAAGGAGCCCACAAGGGCCGTGTCAGGAGCCAGCCCTCACCTCTCATGACTGGGCTCTGCCTTGCAGGAGGTCACAGATGTCTGTTTGTATGGGACATCCTTCTAGTCCAAGCACATGCTTGCTGCAAAACCCCAAGCACCTAGGCCCAGCTTCATGCTGGTTTTAACCAGTAACTGTCCCAGTTGTATCTTGCAAGTAGAGGGTGTGATTTCCACTGCTCTTGGAATCGGGTTTTGTGTTCCTGCAGCTCCTACTCCTTTGGAAACCTGCATTGTACAGATTCTTTTCCAGATCCATGCAGGAAGGTTCTTTTCTCTGGTGGTCCAGGACACACATTTAACTTCTGACATATGAATTCTTCACTGGCTTTCACGGGATGGTGACACATGCAAATGCAAATGTATCTTTGGGATCTCAAAGCTTTCTTTGGTAAACCCCTAAAGGGCTTGAATATATATGATGTGCATCAGCATGTTTGATATGTGTTATCACACGGTCTAGGGTGAGGTGTCCCTGCCCATGGCAGGGAGGGTTGGAACTGGGTGATTTAAGGTCCTTTCTAACCTTAACTATTCTATGATTCTGTGTTGTCTAGAATATGTGCTAAATCCACACGGATCAGTGTGTTGCTAGAGCAAGTGCCTATATTAGTTTAAGTTTCACAGCCTCAGCAGAACATTTGCTGTGCAATAAGATGCAGGGCGAGGGAAGTGGCTGCTCTTGCTGTGAGTGCTTCCTACGGGGGGAGACTTTAATTAAACTGACATTCCTGATAACCAAGTCACCGATGAGATGCCCGGGCTGGGATGTTGGCAGGAGCTGGGTCACTCCATGGGGAGCGAGCCCATGGCAGGGAGCCACCAGCAGGCACCTTACCCACGGCTGAGGGTGCTGCTGCTCCTCTGCAGCAGCCCCGAGCCTACGGAACCGCCCGGGACCGGTGCTGCAGGCGGGGAAGGGCCGTGACCGGGTCGCTTGTCCTCCCCTGCCCCAAACCCCTGAGCTGGGCTTCGCCCCCCGGTTTATGGCCCCTGGTTGTGCTTTAGTGCCCGCGGGAGCTTCCTGGGGGTGGCTCAGGCGGGAGGGCGGAGCCGGGGCTGCAGCTGCTAATTACGGGCACCGCTAATGAACCCCTCCTCACTCTCTGCTAGCTTCTGCCTTCCTCCCTGCCTCCTCCCGGGGCGCGCCCGCCCGCCCGGGAGCGCGCAGTGCGGCGCGGCCGCGCTCGGGAGCGCGCAGTGCGGCGCACGGAGCCCGGCTGCGGCGAGTCCCGGCGCTCCCGGAGCAGGTAAGCGGGGAACGGGGGTACCGGAATGTGGGGCGCTCCCGGGGGATGCTCGGGTCCATCCGGCAGCGGCACCCCCCGGGCAGGGCTGGGTGTGGGGCGGGCTGGCTCCGCACCATCAGCATCATCACCGCGGGTTTGGGACCCGCTGCCTGCAGGGTCTCCCCCTTATTTTGCCCTCCCCGGCAGGTTCCGCATGCGAGGGGGAGCCGGGTACCGGGCTCTGGCATGTGACGGGATTTTTACTGTTACGTCATGACATCGTGTCTATGCGTGGCGATAATATCCCGATATGTCAGCTCGGGGAAGGGGGTCGCATCCCGGCTAGAGACCCTGGTGGGACAGGGCACGGCTCGGTCCCCAGAGGAGCAAAGCTCGCCCTGCGGGGCGGCCGCACACTGATGCTTCCCTCTCGTGGTTTTTGGGGTGGATTCGTGTTCATCTGGAACATCTTGGGCTGGGAAAACGCATGCACGGCCTCGCCTGGAGGCCCCTGGGGAAGCAGCGGGCTGGGATGCTGCGCTGGAGGAGCCGGGCCCCGCCGCTGGTGGTGACTGCGTGTTTCCCATCTGCCTGTGCCCGCAGAGCAGCTCCCGGCCATCGATCAGGCTTCTGGAGGTGGGGAAAGTGCTGAATCATTTGTACTCCCGGCTGTCCGGGCGGCTCAGCCTTTCCCGACCCCAGGAATGGGCTGCAGGGACCGAGGGATGCTCTGCTGGCGGAGCGTGGCCTGCAAGAGGTACCCGTTGGCTTGAGCGCGGTGTAGCATCTTCCTCGGTGGCCTTAGCTGCTCCTTGGAGGACGGGGCGCAGAGAGGATGCAGCGCTTGCGGCGTGGCGAGGCCTCCGGGCATGGGGATGTGGGGAGGGACGAGGGATCGGGAAGGTTTTCTCTGGAAAACCCCATCCCTTCTGCCATGGGAAGGGCTTGGGTCTCGCTGCCGGGGCAGGGCTTGCTTTTGCCTTTTCTGTGCTGCCTTTGAGGTTCTTTTTCAAGGTCAGTCCTTGGAAGTGCTCCTGTGGACCACTTGTGAAAGTCGAATGGGGAGTTTCTGAATGCTTTTTGGCAGAGGGGCAGAGGAAAGGGGCAGGGGAAGGTGAATATTGCAGGAAAACCGGGATGCTGACAGGCGGAGCGGATGCCTGGCTGGTTTAAGATGGATACTGTGGCGCTGTCAGAGTTTAAGTGTTTCCGGGGTGCTCCCAGCAGATGCTGAGGACAAAAGCAAGAATCCAGTGACTTTTATTGCGATGCTGCCTCCTTTCTTGTTGCCTGTGCTCCTGTGAAATCCCACCCCCCCCCCCCCCTTCGGCAGCAGGGCTAAATTGATCAGCATCATGACTGCTTTGTTTCCCGAAAACTTTGCAGGGCCTACCTTGAGAGATAATGGCTCCAATTCAGCATCCAATTGTATTTAACGGCTGGGGCTGGGCCCTTGCTGACTTCCCTTTTTTTGTGTAGCTGTAACACGAGTACTACATAAATAATGCATGGAGGGCTGCGGGAGGATGGGCTCGAGGTGTTAAATTTGAAGATGGACTTTGCTCCTAGGGGTTGAGGCGTCGGGACCGGCCTTGTCCTGCTTATAGGATGGAGCTGGTGGTAACAAAGCTCCATCATCATCCTCAGCGTCTCGCCAGGGGTTACCGCTTTGTGTTGCCTTGGCTGTGGCTCGGGGCCTGATTTAAACTTGTCAGTCAATCCAATCATCTCTTCTGCCGGCTAATGATTAAATGGGAAATATCCCAAGCTCTCAGAAGGTATTAATTCATAATGAATTATTTGCTTTGCTGTGATCTAATTGTCTTCATGGGTCTTGTGTAGAAAATCGATGCTGCTGCTGGCAAAGTGCCACTGCAAAGGCTCTCTGCAGTGACCAAGCATCAAAGGTGGTCAAATAACGTGAATAACAGCAAGAAACAAGATCTCTGTCTTCATACCAGAGCTTCTGCCTGAGATCCTGTGGGAAGGCTGCTCACGAGCCCCTTGTGTGTAGGTCTTCACCTGGTTGTACCCCTCTTGGAAGGACAGCACTGAGAGTCCATGGGTGGGCTGTGAGGTGCAGCCTGTGCAGGGAAGGTGTTGAGATCAGGTGTGAATAGTAACACATCGGGGACTAGAAAAGGAAAGCTGCAAATGCAGACTCAGCTGCTGGTGGTTCCTGTGATTGTGAGGAGAGTCAGAGTGCACATGGACAGGAGGCAAAGGGACGTCTGCTGGTGCCTGGTTCTGGTGGATGGGAAATGGTAACTGCACGGCTGTTAAAGCAGTTTGTTCGGGGACTGGAGCAGCTCTGCTTTGGAGCCAGGCTGAGAGAGCTGGGCTGGGGCAGCCTGGAGAAGAGAAGGCTCCTGAAGGGGAGACCTGAGAGCAGCTCCAGTGCCTGAAGGGGCTGCAGGAAACCTGGAGAGGGGCTTGGGACAAGGGCCTGTAGGGACAGGACAAGAGCTGGAAGTGGATGAGCTTTAAGATCCCTTCCCAAACCATTATGTGATAACTCTCCACTGAAAGGAGTTTTACTTCCGTTGCCGTGTTTCAAGCCTGGTCAGGTGACCCAGTGACCTTGGGAGAAGGCTCGGGGGGGGGGGGGGGGGTGAATTACTCATAGGTACCAAGTACTTTGCCAGACTTGAATCCCCTCTCCATTCCCCTCATCTCTTTAACCCCACTGAGCAGAAATGTGGCAGTTATGGGGGGTCTCTACCAAACAGTGTCTTGATAAACACCAGTGCTTGCAGAAATGGAGCCTCCCTGGGCAGAGGGAAGGCTTGGACAGGTTACCCAGAACTTCAGGGAGTGTTGGCTCCATCTTGTTCTTGGTGTGATCTGGTAAGGAGCTCACAAGGAAAAGGTTTGCACTGCTTGTTCAGGTGAAATAAAGATGCAGCTGAGTTGGGAAGGTTTAAATCAATCCCAGTTTACACTGTCTCCATGTCCTGCATAAAAAAAAAAAAAAAAAATTTACTTAGAATAGAATAGTTAGGGTTGGAAAGGACCTTAAGATCGTCGAGTTCCAACCCCACTGCCATGGGCAGGGACAACGGTATGAATAAATGTGAATTAAAGCAAAACCTGGGAGGAGATGTTAGAAAATCCAGGGAAAAAAAACCGCTGGAAATTCCTCTTTGAACCTTCCCTGTTGCCTGGGTTTAGTTTGCCCTTCCCAAGATATTCCCTTGTACCTCAAACCCAAGCAGGCAGCTCAGACCCAGCATTGCATTTAGGGGTTAGAGCTGTTGAAAGGCTCTGGCAAACCTTGTTGGGGAGGTCTCGCTTGTCTGCCTGCCCTCGGGTAACTCCTTTCAAGAAGAATTGTAAGTGCTGTGGGATGACTTCTGCCCTCTTCCTCCTGCTTGAAGCAGCTCAGACCTTGCTGCCTTTACCTCTGCTGTCCAGGATACTTGTGTAATTGTAGGGATCCAGCTCAGGATGAACTCGGAGTTGTTGCCACGCAAAACAATCCCCCTCCTTTTTCCTTTTTAAATCCAGATCTGCAAGAAAGCATTCTGTGTTGTCCTGGATTAAAACAGAGGAGGATTTAGACCTCAGCCTGCTTATAGGGATCACCATCCCTTGTTAATAAGATAGGAGGAGAAGGATTAACAGCTGAACAAGTAGAGATGCTTTTGTGTGGCTAAACAGAAGATCCCAGGGATGCTGGGCAGGGACAAGTCTTTCTTTGCCTTGCTTCTTGAGCTCACCTCAGTTCAGGATCCTTTGGATCCCATCCTCTTGCTGCTGTGATAGCCTGGTGCTGTTATTCTCACTGCACAAGGTGAACCTGGAGGTTTGCTTGAGTTCCTGGCAGGCTTTCTGCTGCTTTATGCCTTTTTGGCAGTAGATTTTGATGTCTTCCAGCATGAGGCCTGATGGGTTCTTACAGACCTTCTAAGTCACAGCAAGCAGATACTGTTTCACTGTCAGCCTGCGTTCCTCCTGACATGCCCTGGCACAGACAGGCAGGGCTGGCAGCTCAGTGTAAGCTGGGAGGTGGATGGGGCTCACCTTGAATCTGCAGAAAATGTGGTGAAATCCCCTTTCTGCTGTGAAATGTTCACTTTTCCTGCTCCTGCCAATAACCTCAAGAAGCTCCAAGTTAAAAGGGAATGTGGGGTTTCCCAAACCGAGACCACCGGCTAAGGCACTGACCTGTTGCTGTTTTCTGTTCATATTAAGTAGTAGCACCTCGAGAAGTGGCTTCTGTGTTCTAGTGGTTATTCAGGGAGCTGTGACCCTGACCAAGCATCCAGGCCCTCTGTTTAATTTGCTTGGTGTCCTGCACGGGTTCGGTGCAGCACTAGGATGGACATTTCCCCACTTGAAGACTTTTCTTTCCATGTAAGACTCAGGAACATGGTTTAGTGGTGGACTTGGCAGCATTAGGTTTATGGTTAGACTCAATGATCTTAAAGGTCTTTTCCAACCTAGATGGTTCTGTGGTTCTATGCGTATTTACACTGAAAATGCAAACGAAACCACAGCTTCAAGGTCCCTTCCCACCCAAGCCAGGCTGGAGTTCCACGATTCTCTGCTCGAAGGATGGTGTACCCCTGAGGAGGAGTGAAACCGCTGCGGGTCAGGGAGTTACGAGCGTGGGTGGGTGGGTGGGAGGACGCAGTCTGCCTCTCTCCAGGGTGCTGAACCCTCCTGGGGGTGGCGGGGGCACCCCGGGCTCCACCGCAATCCCTGCCTACGAGCTCCCTGTTGCTCCTTCTGTCCTTGGTGAGGAGAAGGGAGAACAGGCAGAGGTGAAACAAGAGGATGCAAGGGAGAGGCACGAATCCCCCCCATCCCCAGGTGGCTCTCAAGCAGTAGTTTAGGTTACCCAGAGAGGCCTGGGGGTCTCCACCCTTGTTGGATGAGCGTTTTAAAGACCCATCTGGATCAAACCCTGAACAACCTGGTCTGACCGTATAGCTCATCCTGCTTCCAGCTGATGGCTGTACTAGGTGACCTGCTGTGGTCCCTTCCAGACAGAAGTGGCTTGTGATCCTGTTACCTTC